CGCGTAGTCCACGATGTACTCATCTTTCTTCTGTGAGATAGATGACCAGCGATAACGTAGATCTTCGACATTAAGGGGAGTGTATTCCGCAGCTTGCAGTGAGGCGAGGGAGGTATGTAGGCATAGTTTCCACATCGGGCCATCGCGCTCGTCAACACTTAGGATCCTCGCATAGTGCTTGCTCCTGATACTGGACATGTCCTGGATGCTCACATACCGGACTTGGTCGGCGGGGGATGCTGATTTCCTCAAACCCTGGACCAATTCGTCTTCGTTATCCGCCGATAGGAGGGAGTATAGAGTAAACGCGATCGATCGGCTCCTCGACGACTCAGGTTTGCGGCATGCGTGTTCGCAGATCAGAGCAGCCATTACGGTTGGGCCCCAACCTTCATTAGCGACCAACCTGGCGAGTTGCCGAAGTCCTTCAGTAATGTCATATTGATCCAGAAAAGACGCGATGTCAGGAAAGCCGTCATAAAGACCCTTCAATGAACCATACCATCGGTGTAGTTGAGGGTACCAAGCTTGCATTTTAAATGCCAATATCACCACAGAGGCAGGGTTGTCCAACGCCGACGATGCAGGGAATCCGGCTACCATCTTCGTGGCGCCTACGAGGATACGAGTTACGTCAGACGCACCTTCCGTGTAATCAGAGTAGTTAGTGTCGTGGATCCACGACCCATCGGAGCCAATGATGGCGCGGTAGGTAGAGTAAGTATCTTCCAGAGTCGGGCTCTTGGCCTTGTGCTCGATATTAGGACTTGACTGCGAAGTGACCCTTGGGTCATCATTTGGAGGCCCAGCATAGAAGGTCCCTCCAGCTTCATGGATAGTCCTGTTAGAGTCCATGGTGGCGTGTTGAGACGTGCTACCGGACGGTGGTATAACGGTACTCAATACTGTAGCGGGCCGTGTAGGCTTAGGCTGAGGCTCAAGATCTTCACCACTCGATAGACGCAAATCCGCAGGCTTGTCCATGGGAAGAGGAGACTATTGAGTACGAGATTACACACTGCAATGAGGCAGATCAGTATCATTGAATCAATAGACACTGGCATTCATAGTATCAATCTTAAGCAGGGTAAGTCTCTCCATGTAACCGTCGATCTTGTGAAACCGT